GTCTTCTAATATTACGACTTTATTCTCGTAATATTACAACTTTATTCTCGTAGACCTAATATTATGACTTTATTCTCGTAATATTATGACTTTATTCTCGTAATTTCCAAAAATGTAAAATTTAATTTCTCTTTTTGGTCTGGCCATAATACCTAGTCGTACCTACCAGCATGATTTGTGACATCACAAATAGTTTGGAAGTCAGTCCTGGTCAGTATGCAACTTGTACAGTGTGATGTAGAAACTTGAAGCCACCTACATACATACACTGAGAATGGACTTAGTAGGAGACATCTTGTGTCCAGCAGGAAAACTTTAGAAATTAACAACATTTACATATTCAGAGATTCTGTAATTTTAATAAGGTAGAAGGAGTAGATGACTTTTTAAGGGTTTTAATGTGGACATTAAACTTCTTTTGTGGAAATATATATGTCTTAATACATGTCTGGAGGGGATCTTTAAGAGTTTCAAAAGTGACAAGTGCTTGTTTCAACTCAGAATCTTGTACAGGATTTTGATTTAGTTCTTAATGGGAAACTAAGACTATTAAGGGAAATTCTTTGAGTGAGTTAATAGCTCTGTAGGCAGAATGACGCACGTTTCCTTGCAGGTTTTACAGACTGACACCCCTGTAAAACTGTCAAATAAAATTATCATCTTGATCCTGTTGGTGGGTCCACGCTGACTGGACATAATCTTATTTACTTAAAATTAAATTATTTGTATCATCACACTCATTTATCAGAGTAGGCCTTTTCCTGTTTGCCTCTGTCACATAGTATAAGTCATAATAATATAAATTCCCTTCTTAAGGTTCAAGACTTTTTTCTTTCTTTCTTTGGAGAGCTGGCTGTTTATGTTCTGCTAGTTAACCCTGAAATGACCACAATAACTGCTAGACCAGGCTGTGGATCTTGTAAAACTACCTGTGTTTAACCCATTACCATACCTCCAGAGGTTAGTAGTTTATATTCTACATACCAAGGTGGACATTGTTTTTTGTATTTATTCTGAAGTTGTCCATGAATGCAGCAGGTCCTCATGATGCAATGTGAACATGAACATGTCGAAAACAACCTCTGCATATCTATCACATGCCTATCAGGGCCCCAGAGCTGCGTTTTTAGACCGACCGCATGAAGCTGTCAGGCCTGCCAGAGTCTGAAGTGCCACAGGGACCTCTAACAAAGATCCAAGCATGGCAAGTTCAAGAAGACTCCATACCTGCGAGCACCTCATGTAAGCATTCACAGGCTCTAAAACTGTCTCTGCAGTCTGGTACTGCTGTAGATATATAGTGGTATGTGGCACTTTGAAGTTACATTTAAACAATGCTCCTTTTTTAAAAGAATAACAGCTTAGCCAGCTTAGCCAAAGTCTGTTTGAATTCAAACGCAGTTGTTCAAAGAACTACACCCACTGAACAGAGACATTTGTCACAGCAATAATTTTATTTTCAGTCTTGACAATCATTAGATGTCTGCTGTGTTACAAAGTAAGTATCAGGAATGTTTGATCGGCAGACAGTGTGTTGCCGGATGATGCATTGCAGCAAAAGTGGAATCACATTCAGCTCAGCATTTTTTGTCAGAACAAAAGGTATTTAGACTCAACTTTAAAGTTCAAATAAAATGTAAATATAACCCTTTCAGATTCCACCCCTAGTCATATTGAACCCATATTTAACAATATATGCCAAAGAATGTACAAAACTCAACTTCTTTGTATTTTTATATCAAAATCCAATCATGTTTTCCTCCTGTAAAACAAAATGTGACGTGTGCTTACGTTAAGTGCGAACCAACCAATTTCAACCAAAAAAATCCATCCACCCATCAATTAATCTTTAACTTTTAGCTACACAGAGCAAAGATTCATTAGTTAGCTAGCTAGCAACAGCATCTGCTTCTGCCAGAGTGAAGTGTTTCTGGGGGCCGGACCTCACTGATAACTGTAGTTCCTCTAATGGCCACGTGAGGGCTGGCTCCAGCAATGAGTCAATCTCCATAAGGCCCCATATTAAAATGCCCAACTTTACAGCAGAAATACACATGTTTACAGCCTGGTACAAAAAACGTTTTGTTCTTTATAGTTAATTTCCCGTTTATGACAACTGTATCGGAGGGATTTTTATACAACTCACCTGTTTAAAATATATTCAGGTCTAAAGTTATGCATTTTTGAGGACATTTTTTTTTTGAGTGACAGGTGGGTGCTGTCACAGGCGGGTGTTTTCAGTAATCAGGCTTTATTTGGATACAGCAGTATCAAAGTGATTTACAGAGTTTAACAGCCATTAGCTAGTTAGCTCAAACAGCTAACATTAGCTGACTCAGGGGTGCCAGGTGACAAAGGTAAAAGGAAAAATCTGTACTTTTGATTTTGGGCTCAGCTGTCCCATTAAAGTTGCTTTACAGTTGCTCACACTCATCTAATGGCATGAATCAGAATGTAAAATGCAATTTAAAAAGCACTTTTCTGATGGGAAAGAATGCATTTTAATGCAGTTAAATTTATTCCTTTATTAATTTAGTGTTTTTGGATTACTCATGCACATGCAGGCACTATGAGGCTTGGGCAGACTTCCTACCCCCCATCAGCAGCGTTCCACAGGGCCGTGCTTGTGTCCAGAAAGTGTCTGGGTGTGCAGCCGTGTGCTCTAAAAAGCCTGTTGGCCTTATCAAAATACGTTACTGTGGCAGGAAGCGCCCTCTAAATTGCCAGACTGGTATTGGTGCTGCCGCCGCCTGGCTGTGTTGTTTTAGATGTCTGCAGACAGCGTGCCACAGCCAGCATTACCACCAGTCTCTTCCCACACAGCCAGCAGCACCATGCACCCGGACTGGGTTTCTCCTCACACATTCTGCCACTGCCTCTCCATGTGCACAATTCCGTAGTTAAGCGACCGCTGGAGGTCCCTATTGTATTTGCTAGAATTCTTCTTAGGGACCGAGCACTGACCAGT